GATAGCAGCGTTGAATTTTCTCCTCATCTGTCGCATGGGCGGATGTAGTGGATCGACATTCAGCTTGTGGGTGGCGATGTCTCGCGGGATTCCCGGCATATCTGAATGGGAAAAGGCGAACAAATATGCATGATTAGTTAAGAATTCACGATACTTACTTGGGTTGGCGAGACTGTGCCCGATATAGGCTTTCTTCGTAAGATTGGTTTCGTCCAATTGGACTGGGTCGAGATCTTCGACCGTTGCTTTACAGGCCTCCACGATGTCGGGGTCTTTGATGGCGTCCGTTGTTGGGTTGACCTTAGTCCCCGACACGGCTAATTGCTATGCCTCCGCGCTCGCCCCCTTTAGCTGCTGGGTGTGGGCGCAGTCTTGGGCTATTTTGTAGCATTCTTGTGATGTGCGTGGCTCGCCTTGAATACTGAATACTCCCCATGGGGTAGGGAATTTGATCACTTGGTAGAGGCTTGAAGGGACCGCTCGCATGGCGTGTATCCACGGGCGTCCTATGATGACGTTGTACGCCGTTTCTTGGTTCATCATGTGGAAAGTTGTTTCCAGCGTGACTCATCCCGCTAAGACGGGCAGTGCTATTTCTCCGGACGTCCGCTCCACTGCATTGTTAAAACCGGTTAGTGTTATGCAGTGCGGTATTACCCTATCCTCGAGTCCCATTTGTACGAGGACCCTTGGGTGGATAATACAGGCGTCACTTCCGTCATCGATCATGACTCTTTTAACATCCGTATCAGCGATACGTAAAGTGATAACTAAAGCATCATAATGAGGGAAAGACAAACCGTCGGCATCAGACTTATCGAAGGTGATACTATCTTCGAAGTCGTCATACCGTTCATGGGTGATGGTCCGCTTTAGTCTGTGTGTGGTGGCGAACTTGACGTGATTGATCACTGACTCGTCGCCGCCTCCGACGATCATGTTTATCGTGCGCGCTGGGGAAGGTGGCTTCGGCGGCCCGTGGGGTTGTTCTCGTCCGCGTGCAAAGTTGATTTTCCCTTTCACTGAGTAACTCCCTCAGGTATCCCTAGTTCAGCATCCTGACCACCTCTTGCCGTAGGCCTATGCAGTCTTCGGTTTTGTGTCCCCGTTCCTGATGGAACTCACATAGGGCGTTTGATTTCCTTGTGGCAGGGTCTGATTTCATCTTCTGCGGCCACTGCACCTTGGTGCCCAGCTTCTCCAGTGCGTACACTATTTCTGAAGGAGATACACAAAAGTTATGGGCGGTCAATAAAGAGGGCGTACCTCTTTCGTTTCGGAGTGGGGTGACGTGTCGCTGTAGCGCGTCTGTATGCCTTGGTGGCGGATGGGAGGATCTGGTGTATGGCTGATGTCGATCTCTGTTGGAGCGGGGAAGTTGTTCTCATCGTCCTTTGTTCCGTCGATCTCTCCTCGTTTCTGAGTGTATCGCTGTTAGTCATTGGGTCGGCCTATTAAGATCGTCCTCGTCCGCTCGTACCTCGGCGCAATAGGCGTTGTGGATTTCCTCCCATGTGGTAGGGGGATATTTCATAAGGCGGCTCAGCAGCTTCTTGGTTGCCCTCGAACCATCCCTGCTTAGCCCGTTCTGGAAAGCGGCGACTGCCATACCTTCCGATACGTTTGGTAGACTCATCCTTACCCTGTTAAACCTTGCCAGGAAGTCCCTGAGTCCCTCACCTGTGGTTTGCCTGACGGCGAAGATGTCGTTGACCCTGGCCTCCGCTTTCTTCGCGCCTGCATGGGCTGTGACGAACTTATCCGCCATTTCCTCGAACGTTGATATTGCCTTAGCCGATAGCTGAGAGTACCATGTTAAGGCCCCTCCTGTCAACGTCTCGCTAAACTTCTTCAGCAGTACCGACGGTACCTGTTCTTTCGATAGGTCGTTGCCCTTCACAGCGGTGACGTAGTGGATCAGATGATCCTCGGGATCCGTGGTTCCGTCATATATCCTCAAGTAGGGTGGCATCTTGAAGGTTTTTGGGGTGGAGTGAGGGGCAGCTTCTTCAGCGTATGGTTGTTCAACGAACCTTCCCACGTCGCGCTTTGGTAGCAACTTGGGAGCACCGGGGATCTTGTCGACCCTCTCCTGATGTTCCTTCATCTGACCGCGGAGCGCCTTGTTTTCATTTTCCATTTCTTCCATCTTCTTTAGGATGGCTGTTAGCATGCTATCGTTGGTCTGTGTCTCGATGGGTTTGTCATTCGCTAGTGCAACTTCCGGTTCACCCACGGCAGCAGTGGTACCTACCGTTGGTGTACACCCGATGTTACTTTGTGGTGACCTCTCAACCAAGCCGCTTAGAGTGCTTGTTAGCCATCTTTCCAGTAGCTCCTTGACCGCTGAGGGTGCTTCCGTAGCCGCAGATGTGGAAGCTCCTTTTTCGTGCAAGATCGTCAGACCTTCGGATGGGGAAGGTGAGATCTCTACACCCGGTGTGATGCTAGGGGTTGCATTCAGGATGCCATCGTCACTGGCCTCGTTGAGAGGGCCAAGGAGATTGGTAGTGACACCCAATATAGCTTTCGATCTTGTGTTATTTTCGGCCATTTTCTGTTTTTGTGTGGTGTAGAGAGTGGTAGTTGGTTGATCTCTAGGTGGATACTATGGTTTTGATTCTCGAAATCCCCACAGACGGCGCCAAATTGTTTAGCTCAAAAATTATATTCGTATTTTATAAGCTTAAAAACAATCGAAAATATATAGGGGTAAATCGTAATCAAATATAATAAGCCCAAGAGATGATTATTGCTTTAAGAATGTTTGTAGATCTGTAAGTGCATAGAGAAATAGACTTAGTTTAAGAGGGAAGCAATGGTTGGAAAATCAAGAAAGAGATCAGAGAGAGAGATAGAGAGAGAAATTGTATTATGTGAGAATCCAAATCCCCCTTTACAATGTGAAGGTCTCCTTTATATAATAAGAGACCTTCCTCGAAAGAATCAAAAAGTTACAAAGACAGGTAACGTCTCCCTAGTGAAGATACTGAGTCCTAAACGATGTCGCTTTTGTCCCCACGTCCGAGTCGTACCCGCTACGTTAGTCGGCGTACACTCACTGAGCGTACCCACTGGCGTAGAGATGCTGAGGGTCAAATTTGACCCTATACACAACAGTTAGAGAATTAATCCACCACAAATCTAAAAATATAATTATTGAGTAGAGGCAATAGGACAATTACGACCATAACCAAAACCCAAAAATTTATTTAAGATTCACATTATGAAATAGAAAACACCAGCGCTACAAGTTCCAAATGAACGAGAGAAAACGTAAAAGATAATATTAACATTCTATTCGACAACACATAACAAACACAATTTACCAAAATCTTTCTAGATAACACATTCATGGGTCAGATAACTGCTTTATTGCCCTAAAAGTCAAAAAAGTAAAGCCCTATCACATTAGGGTTCCTCAAGATCGGAACTCTGACCTCCAGGTCAGTAATCGACTACCCTGCAAAAAATGGCCTTCAAAAGGAAATACAATAATGGAGAACACGATTTTATGTACAAATACTTAAACAAATAACAACAATCATGGGCTGAAATCGTTCATGAACTGGAGAGAGCGATGAGGGGAAGCTGAGAGAGAAAGACGAAGTTTGACCGAAGAGAGAGAGTATTAATGGATCCTAAAACCCTTTTAAGTAGTATATTTTAATCCTAGACTCCAAAGTTTTGAATATTTTAAAAAAGGAACCCAACCTCACTAAGGGTTACATTCTTGTACTATTCCTGATCTTAATTACCCCTATACTTGGTTATCAATAGCTTTACCCCCTTGGACGAACGCATCCCAAGAAAATGACATGCACTCGCCTCCCATGTGAATTTTCCTGCCCATGTGGCACTTTTTGGAATACTAAAATATATTTTTTACCTTTTAAGTGTGTTACTTATTTAGCTAATCTTTTTTGGATAACATTTATAATAAAACTTGGATAGAACTACATTATTTAGACTAATTTTTTTTATTTGGCTAAAAATAATAAAGTTTTAGTTATTCTTTTTTGAGTTTGATCCGAAAATAAAGATTTATACAGTTGAAATAAATAGTCAAGGCATCTAAAAAAAATACAAAAAATACATGGTTTGAACTTTATTATTTTGGCTATAATTTTTATATAGCTCTAAATTATATAGCTAAAAATATATACTAGTTTTTTTTTATACAAATTTTATTTGAAAAAATAAAAAATACACAGTTGAAATAAATAGTCATTGCATCAAAAGAAGAAATAAAAGGAGTGTACAATTGCAAGTTTACTATTTTGGCTATACCTTTTCCAATTGACGCGAAAATAAAAATACACAATAAAATAAATAAAACTTATATCTAATGAAAAAAATAACAGGAAATACACAACTAGTACTCCATTGTATTTGCTAAAAAATTTCTATATGGCTAAAATAATGGAGTTACAACCAATTTTTTTACAAATTTGACCAACAAAAAAAGAAAAAATATGCAGTTGGAACAAATAGATATTATATTTATAGAAGAAATTAAAAAGAATAAAAGTTAGAGTAAAATCCACATTGTATGTTAAGATGAAGCAACAAGAAATACATAGTTGTAGCAAATAAATCATTACATATGACTATATGATAATTAAAAGTTAAAAAATAACCTACTTGGAAGCTGATTTTTCGATTTTTCTTCACTCCCACGCGCTTAAAAGAGAGTGCACCCATACTTTTTACGACATCAGCGTTCAGGGGGTAATGACTCTCAAAAGGCCGAGTTTACAGGGTTAATCAAGACCACAAATAATTTAGTGCCGAAATTAATAATTCGTGCCAAGTTTAGAGGGTTTTAGGTAGTTCGCCAAAAGAAAAAGGAGAGTCAAATCCTTAAGTTTTTAGGAGGTTGGACCGCCGATTAATCTCAAGTTACAAGCGCCTACCTCGTGGCATTTCTACATGTAAACGGCCCATTAATCCAATCACTTAGGATTGCCCATTTAACTCACAAAACCCTAAACCCTAAATTAGAATAATATAAAGCCCCTCACGACCCTCAGTCTTTGATTCTTAAAGTTGTTAGGACACTTGTCTCCTCCACTATACTTGCTTACAGTTCACATAAGGCTGATTTTGGTGCTTAGCAGCAGTTTTTGGCTCGAATCATGTGTGTGTATATAGAGGATGCCCTTTTTACAATGAGAAGAGAATCTCAGTTCAGGTATATATGCCATTTTTTTGTTATGTAGTGTATCCATTGTCTTTATAATTGTTTTAAAGATTCAAACTTTTAGGTTGAAAACTCCCTGATTGAAGCCTTCCTTGTTCAGTGCTAGAATGTGCACCTTCATTATCACGTCTAAGTAGGTTTGTTAAAGAAAGTCTGCACTTTGGGGATAGTACGTCTAAGTATCTTGCTGGCATGAAGAAAGCTTACATTCTATTGGTGTGATGTGAGCTCTAACATTCAAATGAAAGAGCCTGCTTCGTTGGTGGAAGTAATATTTTCTTCTGACTATATTGGAAAACAAATGAATTTTCTACTGTAATTCATATGAAGAAGAAATGGGCTTAAGAAAGTTGGTTTATTTTCGGATAAACTTTTGGGTTGTATTCTTTGTTAAGTAAAGGAATGAATATAACGTGGTATGTACTTATTTTTCATTAGGCCTTTGAGAATTAATTAGCTCCAATAGAGTTAGGATGTTCGCTAAGGGGTTCAAAAAAAAAAGTTAAAAAGATTGTAGCTAGTGGGAATTGAACCAATGGCCTTATAAAGGTTTTGAACCCCCTTGACCACTAAGCTATGCTTTTTGGTTGTGTCAAGGGGATTCAAAACATAGTATATAGAGGTAAAAAACAGATTTTTCCTTATATATACAGTGTATTTTCGGCAAAGGGGGGTTAACCCCTTTCCGCCTCCCTAAATCCGCCCCTGGCTTCAATAGTTCTAGAAAGAACTACTCATTGACATGTGTTTATGTCCTTTATCCTTAGAATGGAGATGGATCAAAGATTGAATATAGAGTGTGGAATTCTGTTCTAAGTTAGCATCTGCTGTTCTCGATGGCATCTGGATTGTAAGTTTGTCTTTTTTCCATTCCTAAGTGATAAGCTTAGAATGTTTTATGTACTTTCAGAATGGCAAACTCTGTGACATGTTGGCGCTGTAAGTACCCTTGATGTAGTATTTATCTGCTGATTCCGGTACTCTGTTGATGCCCCTGCTGGTGGTTATTTAGTCATCTTTCTCCTTCTGTTCTAGCAAGGCAGTGCAGTTTTCTCATACAAGTGGAAGGGATTTGGTGAACATGGCAAAGTAACACACAAATGTTTATTGAAGATGCTCGACACCCAGCAAAATACAGAATGCTTGCTGGAATTGTGGACGTAATATTCTCTGATGTTCCTCACCCTTATCAGGTTCATTTTTGAGATATAAATCTCCAACTGTCCAACATTGTCTGCTTGATTTTTCTGTGAAGAGTTTCTTTTCACTTATTTGGTCTCGTGTTGAAACGGTCAATATCTTATGGCTTCTATTATTTAACTTGATTATTGGTGTCTTTTCCTTTTGAATTTTTTTCTTCTCAGTAGTCATATCTTTTTCTTTTCTGTTTCTTTTTTCATTGCACGTTTTCAAGTTTAGTGCTTCTGTAGTGTTGGACGGTATTAGCTGTCTTTTTCAGTTAAACTGCAGTCTGTTGGATATTACTTCCTACAGTGCTGATTTTTAACAAAGAGCTGAACTAGTTTGTGAAATTTTACTGAATTTTGAATGTTTGTTTCCTTGTATATTGATTTCTATATTACTTCATTTTCAACTGGTATTTTTATTGGATGGCTTTACTCCCTACAATGCTGATATTTTAGCGAGGAGTTAACTAGTTTTTCAAATAGATTATCTTCTGAAAATTGATTTTTTATCCTCAGATATTGAGTCTTTAAATTCTTTTCATTTCCAAAATGTTGTTGTATTTCGCTGTCGGTGTTTCAAAATTTTCTTCCTCTTTGACTACTCTCAGAAAGCAGATGATGAGTTACTCGGATTCCCCTTCTAGACATCATGGGTGATGCAAAAACCGAGTTTCTGATGCACTATTCATTGATGTGATGTTGAAATTCTTAATATTTGTCTTTGCATCATTTTTTTCTGATCCATTATTTGTTGGCGGAATGTTTGAAGCTTTTAATCTTTGCCGTTGCATTATTCCTTTCACCATTTATTGAGTCTTTTCGTTCCATTCATTTTCAAACTGGTGCCGTATTTCTTCAATCGCTTTTTCAGAATTTTCTTTTTCTTTCCCTTTACTTAGAATACAGATGATGAGTTACTCGGATTCCCCTTCTAGACATCATGGGTGATGCAAAAACCGAGTTTCTGATGCACTATTCATCGTTTGTAAATTTTAATCTTTGTCTTTGCATCATTTTTTTCTGATTCATTATTTGTTGGCGGAATGTTTGAAGCTTGCCATTGCATTATTCCTTTCACCATTTATTGAGTCTTTTCGTTCCATTCATTTTCAAACTGGTGCCGTATTCCTTCAGTCGCTTTTTCAGAATTTTCTTTTTCTTTCCCTTTACTTAGAATACAGATGATGAGTTACTCGGATTCCCCTTCTAGACATCATGGGTGATGCAAAAACCGAGTTTCTGATGCACTATTCATCGTTTGTAAATTTTAATCTTTGTCTTTGCATCATTCCTCTCTGATGCACCATCATTTATTGAGTCTTTGCATTCCTATATTTTTAAACTAGTGCTATATCTCCTCTTCATTTTTTTAGAATTTTCTTTTTCGCTGACATAGAAAGCAGATGATGAGTCACTCGGATTCCCCTTCTAGACATCATGGGTGATGCAAAACCCGAGTTTCTGATGCCCTATTAATTGGCGGATATTTGAAATTAGTAATCTTTTCCTTTGCATAATTTTGCTGTTTCTTTTAGCTTGAAAAAGGATATGTAGGTAAAATCTTTCAACTTTTTAAGAAATTTTGGGGCAAGGATTTTTCAGGACTATTTTTTTAAATTTTTTGTCCAACGTGCCGCGTGTCTTAATCAATGAAATCACGCAATAAATTGTTATTGAACTGGTGTAGCTCATGGGTCATGATTATGAGAGTGCCACTTGGATAAGAAACTTCTGGTTTCAGTGATTGGGAAGATTATTGCCTATTTTTGGAGTTGTTGAGAGATCTAACCGTCTGGTTTGGTAACATGTGGATCATGGACTATTCCTCGCTTCCCATTTTTGTCGGAGAGAAGGTTTTGGGTCTTCCAGATACTCAAGCAACTCGAATCCAAATTGTTATTCCTTGGATCATCCATTTCACCAGCAAATTTACAATTACATAATGCAGCAGGCTTTGCTTCGTAGACCTGTTTGGACTATTAAACAGGGCTCTGTCCATGTGAATTTTCCTGATGAGGTCACCGAAGGGACTGAGTTTGTTCAGACTTTGGCATCAGAATTTCAAAAATTTGAAAATCAGAATGGGCTCGTTCGGTTGTTAGACGACCTTAGTATTGATGATCATAGACCATAGAAAGTTCTGGTCCGATAACATCATAAAATAAGAGTTTGGGCCATTATCCACTTTATCGGCTAACAATTCTGGATCCTCATGCAAGTATACTTATTAATAGCTCATCATGCACTCAACAGAGGGCTCTCTTCTAGTTATGTATTCTAATTGCACGAGGTGCATCCTCAAACTTAAAATCACCAAGTTTAGGGCTACGTGGTTGACATTTATAAATGTTATATTAGATGTACAGAGGTATATGTTGCTCGAGCTCTTGTAGGAGATCCTATTTATTATCGCATGTATTGATAATAAATGTTTATCCGCCTCTGATGTTGGTTCTCCTATATATTGGTATTATGATAGCAATAATGTCCAGTTAATCCTTAAAGCTGGTTGATGATCTGTGTTTAAAGCAGTTGTGAATTACGATAGGACCGGACTAAATGTAAGCAGTCTTTGGTATATATGCATGGATGATCACAAAACTGTCACTTCCTTTCTGTTAGAGGATTCTCCAGCTGTGTGTGATAATTTTTCTCTCAACGACCTTTTTGGCTGCCGTTAGACATTGATTAAGTTGTTCTGGCAAGACTTGAATCGCCTTATTAGCTTCTATACTAGATTTGCGTTCACCAGTTGATGATCGTTGGAGTCTTCTTCAAGTGCCCCTGATTTCTTGGAGAGTCAGGGTATTATTTGTAGATGAATAGTTCTAAATGATTTTATTTAATATGTGTAATTTTCTTGCACAGCCTACAGCTGCCCAGAAAATTGCAAGTATTCATAATTGTCTAAAAAATATATTAAATAATCTGCCATCTTGTGTATGAATGAACCTCAACAATCATGTCGAATTAGGATCATATTTTCATGATAGTTATGTTCCACGAGGTAATTATAATTTTACGCGTATTAGTGAAATAGTTTGGTGGATGACTTAATTAACATTTGGCCCCCAATATGTCTATAATATAAACTGTACTGACTTGTTACCTCATGCACGTGGCTGGAAACTTCGGCATAATTTCATTCTTCCCGTACGGAATACGTTTTCCTTTAGCTTTGGTTATTTACTTCTCAGTCTCAATTGTCTTATTTGTTTTATTCTGGGGGAGGGCTGGAGGTTTTTGTGCTTGGGTTTTCATTATAGTAACTATATAAAGTTCTGCTGATATAAACAGTTCTTCATCTCAGGTCCATTATTACGTCCAATCCTATATTCAGATAAATGAATATCGAGATATGATCGCGTGGTTCTGGTAACAAGGATTCATAATCCCTTCCCTTTTGTGTGTGTGTGTGTAGTTATAATCCCTTACATTAGGTGGATTCCTGCTGCAACTAAGAAGTATGGGAAACGCATCAGCCGCATCAGCAAATGTCTCAAGGTTTTAGACATTACTGGCTTTAAACTTTCAGCTTTAAACCAAATAAAGGTATGTTCCATTAAGAGTTCTAGTCTCCTTTAGTTGCTCAGTCACTTACTCTGTTTCAAAAAGTATTATTTGATCCACATGAAATTGTGGAAAATATCAAATATTGCTGATTGTTTATCTTTCAGTTCTTAAGAGAACTTTATGGCTAGCGCAAAGAACAAGAATATATATTTGTTTTTGCGGAAGAATATGTAATTGCAAGACTATGTTTAACCATATAGACTGATAGTACATATATTTGTGCATACGGTAGAAATCGAGGCTACCCGATTTGATTCTTTGGTCGAGATAAAAAATGTCGTGCCAAAGAGCTAGGACGTCGAGTCTAGACCGAGATCAACACCGATCGCGGCCAGAAAGAGACATACTTCGAGTGACATCGGTATAGCTTGATAACGGAAAAGGTGAGACATCCGCGATTGGTCGAGGATCGTGGCGTGAATCTCGGAACGGATCAATCTGCGACGGTTAATCAGATGTTAATATGGTTTCCTACTATAATTAGAAGTGCACCTTATTTAGGACTCCTCTATTATATAAAGAGGGATCCCATTCATTTGTAGGCATCATTATTGTTCATTAACAAGAATATATACACTCATTACTTTCCTGCTATTTCACTTATTGTTCATCAGAGTTGCTTTATCATTTACTATTCTTATTATCCCACCTCAAGACTACCCCAAGTCGAGGTCGAGACTTGGCTAGCATACTGGTTTGCTTTATCTTATTCTCTAATTTATTCATTTATTTTCTTGCTTATCAATTGGTATTGGACGAATCACATAACCTTAAAACCACATTATAAGGTTAATTGTTATCCGAATTTGAGGGTAAACACACACATTATTTTACACTTGTTCTTGTCAAGTATCTTTGCTCTCGTGTTAGAACATGTCAAACTCACAAAAGGCATCCGCACATGGTGAAGATGGTCTCGGGTTTCATGGGGAAAACGACAATGTAATTTCTCCATGAGCCGAGATGCCACAGGCTAATCTCGGGGGAGCACCGGTTGCCAATCCAATCGATGTTAGTTCGCACGTTGCTTTAAATGTGGACCTAGGCGCGGACCCCGAAGGGAGTGTACGCAGAGAAGCCCAATCTGGTGGCCAAGGTACACAGGGCAGAGGAGACAGAGGAGTTAGTCTCCAAGTGATATTCGAGATACTACAGGCTCAGCAGGCCGCCATTGCTCAATTATAAAATAAACATAGAACTCCGAGTGGGGTCGAGCGAGAAATTACTCGAGTGGGATCGAGCTAGAAATCACTCGCCGTACCGAGCCAGTGCCAGAAAGGTCGAATGGTAACGAATCGGGGATTGCTCCTGCAATATTGAAAATGCTCGAGGAGCTCACCAAAAGAATTGAGTCAGGAGAGAAGAAAATCGAAGCTAATGATAAAAAAGTGGAAACATACAACTCCCGAGTTGATCAGATACCGGGGGCACCACCAATCTTGAAAGGGATGGATTCGAAGAAATTTGTACAGAAGCCGTTCCCTTCGAGTGCGGCTCCGAAACCCATTCCAACGAAGTTTCGTATGCTGGACATACCTGAATACATTGGGACCACCGATCCCAACGAGCATGTCACCTCCTACACATGCGCCATCAAGGGTAACGATTTGGAAGATGATGAGATCGAATCTGTTTTATTCAAGACGTTCGGGGAAACCCTATCGAAGGAAGCAATGACTTGGTGTACCACAATCTACCACCAAATTCCATCGACTCATTCGCCATATTGGCAGACTCTTTCGTAAAGGCACATGCCGGAGCCATAAAGGTTGAGAGAAGGAAATCGGACCTTTTCAAAGTAAGACAGAGGGATAATGAAATGTTGAGGGAGTTTGTATCCCGATTTCAAAAGGAACGCATGGAGTTGCCACCGGTCACAGATGATTGGGCCGTTCAAGCCTTCACTCAGGGATTGAATGAACGAAGTTCGATAGCATCACGTCAGCTGAAGCAAAATCCGATCGAATATCCGGCTAACTTGGGTAGATGTACACAATCGGTACCAATCAAAGATTAGGGTCGAGGATGACCAATTAGGAGCTCCTTCCGGTTCAGTGCACCCGAACAGGTCAGCCGCCAAAAATCAGAGGGACATCGACAGAGAGCCAAGATTGAACAAAGACCGATATCAACCGTACACCTCAGATCATAGGAACAGTGGTCCAGGACGCAATCACGCTCGGAATGATCAGAGAAGCGATCAAGGATAGAATTCTCGGGGACTCATGAGCAAAAATGGTTTTGACAAGTACGCCGATCCCACAGAGGCACCTCGATTATCGGAGTATAGTTTTAGTGTCGATGCGTCAGGCATTGTATCAGCAATTGGAAGAATCAAAGACACCAGATGGACTAGGCCCATACAGACCGTCCTTCCCAAAGGAACCCCAATTTGATGTGTAAATATCATGGCACGCATGGTCACATGACCGAGGATTGCAGGCAATTGAGAGAGGAGGTAGCCTGTTTATTCAATGAGGGACACCTTCGAGAATTCCTAAGTGATCGAGCCAAGAATCATTTCAGGGAAAGGGACGCAACAAGAAAAATGAGCAGGAGGAGTCGCAACATGTAATTCATATGATCATCGGAGGGGTCGATATTTCGCAAGGGCCCGTGTTCAAACGCACTAAGGTATCAATTACTAGGGAGAAACGGACCCGAGACTATGTGCCAGAAGGCACCATATCATTCAACGACAAGGAGGCAGAAGGAATTTCTCAGCCTAACAACGACGCTCTGGTAATTTCTATCTTATTAAATAAAGTTCAAGTTAAACGTGTTTTAGTGGATCCAGGTAGCTCGGTAAATATCATCCGATCGAGGGTCGTGGAGCAACTCAGCCTACAAGATTAGATCGTGCCTGCAGCTCGTGTCTTGAACGGTTTCAATATGGCCAGTGAAACAACTAAAGGAGAGATTATCCTACCGATGAACGTGGCTGGAACTATCCAAGATACCAAGTTTCACGTAATCGAGGGCGACATGAAGTACAACTCCCTACTCGGGAGGCCTTGGATCCACAACATGAGGGCAGTCCCTTCGACTCTCCACCAAATAATAAAATTCCCGACATCGAACGGGGTCAAAATGGTGTACGGGGAGCAGCATGCTGCAAAAGAAATATTCGCGGTCGATGAGGTAATACCGATTTCGGCGCTATCAACATCGGAAGGATCGGGCATCAAGGGTAAACAGGAAGCCAAATAGCAATCACCGCCACCAGCCTCGATCAAATCGGAGAAGCAGGAAATGGAAGAAGAAGAGGAAGATTCTTTGACCCCTCGAACTTTTGTTGTTCCCGAAGATTTCGACGCCACCAGATCAACGGTCGAAGAGCTGGAACAGGTTATATTGATCGAGCACCTGCTCGAGCGAAAGGTATTATCTGGGAACGGGGTTAACCCTCGAACTCAGGAAAAAGCTTATTCATTTTCTTATTGATAACATAGATTGTTTTGTTTGGTCCCACTTAGACATGACAGGGATCTCGCTGGAAATAAAAACACATCGACTAAGCCTGGACCCAAAGTTCATACTAGTGAAACAAAAGAGAAGGCCCCAGTCCGAGGTAAAGCACGCATTCATAAAGGACGAGGTAACTAAACTTCTCAAAATAGGGTCCATTCGGGAAGTAAAGTATCCCGAATGGATAGCTAATGTAGTCGTAGTTCCTAAAAAGGGAACAATCTTAGGATGTGTGTAGATTATAAGGATTTAAACAAGGCATGTCCCAAAGATTCTTTTCCACTGCCTAACATCGATCGCATGATCGATGCCACGGCCAGCCACGAGATCCTTAGTTTTCTCGATGCCTATTCCGGGTACAATCAAATTTAAATGAACCCGAAAAACCAAGAAAAGACTTCCTTTATCGCCAAGTATGGAACATATTGTTATAATGTAATGCCCTTCGGGCTAAAAAATGCAGGAGCTACCTACCAACGCCTAGTAAATAAAATGTTCGAAGAACAGATAGGTAAGTCAATGGAAGTATATATTGATGA